CATCACAATACATACCAGAATATTGCTGTGGCAAGTCAATAGGGGTGAGAGATCGCACGGTGCTGCGATGCTTGAAGCTAGGAGACATAGCATACGATATATCCGATTGGGTGTGTGGTGTGTCTGGTGCAAGTTGCGTGGCCGGTGTCTGTATATCCTGTGTACTCTGCGCATTTGTGTGTTGATTATACTGTGCATGTGTGTGTGGTGTATGTGTGCGTGTGTGGGTGTGTGCTGGTGAATAGGCTGGATACGTCTGTTGTGCAATGGGTTGATGTTGTGGTGTATGTTGTGGTGGTAGTGTATGCAAGGGCTGAGTGTTGTGTGTGTGTGTGGTAGCGTTAGCTGTGGCGTGCAAGACTGCAGGCGGCGCTTGTTGTGTACTCGGGCGAGTGTCCGTGGACGTCAAATCCCTTTCATCTATATCAATTGCGACGCTGTAGTGGAAAGGGAGTTTGAAAGACAAACAAATTTCGGTACTGGATATGAGGTTTCAAGAGCGAAACAATACAGACCATTAGTAGGTAAGCGTTTAGATATGAACACTACCAGATAGTATTGGGGAATACTGATGGTGAGCTATCCCATTACTACTATACGTGTGTGTATGAAGTAACTGTCAGACGGATCAGATATGATATGAACATAAACCACTGAATATAAACCAAGTTTAATTGGTATTCAAATGAACTGTGCAGAAGCTGAGGTAAGTGCCTCCGCTTTTATGCACGCGTAGACATTTCTTAAATCTAATGGTCGAACAATGAAACGTTTTGGATTACTTCGAATGGATACGGCACAACGCCCAAAACAAAACGTATATAAAACCGACATATTTTTGAAGAAGAAGGCTTACCACGATGGCTATAGTCAAACTCTCAACACAAGCAATACACATATATATGTGTAGATGTCCGACCGATCTACGAGATCGATTTCAAACTATCTCTAAACATTTATACCTACACCTACAAACAAATAATCTCGGGATTCGATACCAACCATAAATACTCTTTCACACACACACCAACCCCAATCATACCTACAGGTGTCGTTTGCCGGCTCCATATCTATGGCAGTATCGTCAGTCGAGACTACTCTGACATTGTCCAGATTCTGTTTAATTACAGCGCCTTTTAGAGGGTCTAAATTCACACCAATTCGCGTCATTTCATCTGATCTATTCACATCTGGACTGGTGGCAGGCTTCCTACTCCCCTCGCTGGCATCCTCAGGTCTGTGTATCAGTCCAGCTTCCCCAGGCCGGTCGTAAACTTGGTTCATCTCCGCGTCAACCGGGTATAGCCCTCCCTGAACACCCTCGTCGACATCCCTCCACCCACCCGCACACACCTGCGTACCACCCGTCCCACACTCCACACACACGCCTGTCTGGTGGTTTGGCTCGTCTGTGTGGGTACTGCCTGGTCTATCCTTTAACCCCGTTGTCTCAGTCCCACACACCTGCCCTACCATCTGCACAGGCTTACCCCCCCAGTCTATTCGCCTCAGACCCTCACCCCCACCCCCATCCCCAGACACCGCTACAGACACCCCCCCCGCATTAGCAGGTGCACTCGCACCCACACCACACCCAGCACCCAGTGTGTCTGTTTGAGTCGGTTCGGTACCATCCGCTGTGATCGTGTACCTATCAAACGCGCCTGTGTGTGTGTCTGTTTGAGTCGGTTCGGTACCATCCGCTGTGATCGTGTACCTATCAAACGCGCCTGTGTGTGTGTCTGTGTGCGTGGTAGCCGGTGAGGACATACACTGCTGCTCCGTCGCACGTGTCTGTGTGAGTGCCTGCTGTGGCCGTTCATCTACCTTTCGACCCTCTGGCCCATCTCCCTGCCAATCTGTGTCTGCATGTGTATCTCCTGGTTGTTGTATGTCTCTGTATGTGTGTGCTTCTCCATACGCACCTTTCGCTGCACCCATACCCGTCCCGTCCTCGGGCGTGTCTGAGCTTGGTAGAGACATTGGTTGGGTGAGCCACTCTTCCCCCTGCACTGTGGGTGTGTAGGTAACAGACCGTGGCCGTGTATGCATCGGATAGGACCGAACTGCCAACGGACTGTGTGCGCCTGCTTCTCCATGCGCAGTCACACTGCTGTGTGTATCTGACGCTCTACGCGTAGGCATGTCCCTATAGTCACTCATGTGTCTCTGTGTGTGCATATCTCCGTGTCCATGCTTCGGCTCATGTTCGGATTGTGTGCTGGCCTGTGCATGTGTATGCGCCTGTGCATGTGTATGCGCCTGTGCATGTGTATGCGCCTGTGCATGTGTATGCGCCTGTGCATGTGTATGCGCCTGTGCATGTGCATGTGTATGTGTCTCTGTATGCGCCTGTGCATGTGTATATGTCTCTGTATGTGCATGTGTATGTGTCTCTGTATGTGCATGTGCATGGGCTCTGGCTTGTTCTAGGCTGGCCGGGTGGGTGTGTAAGAGAGATCCACTAGTAGACACATCCCCTGGGGTCAGTGATCGATGGTGTGGTGCTTTTGTGTGTAGGTATGCCATGTCATGTGCAGGCGCATACCCCTCCGCAGTTGTATTCGCACGCTGACTTGCCTTTTCTTTCGCATGAGAACTGCCATGCACGTGCACATGTGTATGGTCGTGTGTGTGTATGTGTGGGTCCATATACGAGCCGAGGTCTTTGTGTGGGTGCGTGGGCGTCGCTGTGTATGATGTTGGATCTTGGTGTGTGTGTGAGTCTGTGTGTGTGTGAGAGTTTGTGTGTGTGTGTGTGTGTACTTTCATGTCTGCACTCACAGGCATTGCGCCGGTGGAGTGAGCGCTGCTGTGGTGAGTTTGGGATGGCCCAATACTCTCGCGGCGCGAATGCAGACTATTTGATTTACTTCTTCTGTAGAGGAAAAGGAACGGACCAAGAGGTTAAAAAAGGTTATTGCTGGTCACCTCGAAGGAACAAGAGGTTTAAGAAGGTTATTGCTGATCATAACAAAGGAACAAGAGGTTTAAGAAGGTTATTGCTGATCATTGCGCTTCTGGGTTGACACTTTAGAGGGATTGAACTTGTGAATATAATCATCCGTGTCAACCCCTTCCGAATACAAACACATTTGCTGGTGCCGGTAGTGTGTGCACTGCCCCATTTTTATGGCCTGAAACAATACGCTCGTGAGGCGAGCGCGGACTGTTTGTTCTACATAAAACACACAAACTATAAAAATAAAAAGATTTAATCGAATTGCTTACTGGAATTGAAAATGGGATTGGCGGCAACGGAATGGAAGATATAGTGCATCGAACCCCATCCACGCTGACCTTCACAATCACGTGCTTAAACCTCAATACTAGCAATGCACGTATCTCATACAGTCAGTCAAACGATACTAAGCCCGTAAACCGTATACAACCATGCGTAACGATACAAACATACCAGAGCCACACATCATCACACATTTACACACCTAAACAAACTAAACGAACATAAAACACGTACTTGGCCGTCTTTTTGGCTATAACAGGAATGGGTGGCAACGGATTCTGGTTCGGGTTGCCGCGCAACACCATTCCCATCAGACCCAAGTGCCTAGCAGTCGGTTCCAATGCCACAACCACTTTCGGATTCGCTCTCGATCGTCCCGATTTCGAGCTGTAATTGTTCACATGCTGGTTTAATTTGTGTACGTTGAATTGGAGATACGCGAAATGTGCTGCGAATATTTGGAAT